ATATATATCTATATATATATATATATATATATATCATGATTTACATAATCAGTCCCCGTTAATTTAATTAGTCTCTTTTGATCACTAAATTAATTCCAAATTAATTCTTGATCAATACTAATTAAATAATATGATTTCTCAATTAATATATTATACTTATAATATATTAATAAATCACAAATAACCTATTTCTCAAATATCCATCCTATCAAATTGTTCCAGAGTGTTACAACCCAAATGGACCATGCTGTAGCGGGTCAAGTATATACCAATTATAGTTATAGGCTTAGACACATAATCCAACAATCTCCCACTTGGATAAGTCTAATAACTATAATTGCAAGTACGAATTCAAACTCTGATTGGCAATCGTAGCTCTCAAAAAGACCATTGTTGAACTCTGATCTTATTAGTAACGCGTCCATAAGATAAGGGATCATATATTCCTCCATTCTAGATATCGTATGAACTGAGACATGGATTATAATCATTCTCTCTGTTCATGTGTTGTTTCCCGATTTCTGATTTATGACGACCGACTAATTGAACAAAATCAAATCAGTCCAGGCTTGGCCAAGCGCTTAGGGTTGTCATCACTAAATCATCTAGGGGCCCACAAATATCGCTTTTGTCTCACATTGGGTAAAAGGAATGGATAAATTTCGACCCATATGTTTGCTCTATTTACTCATCAAATCACACACAATGATATGTTTTATAACAACGAGTTACCAGTGTGTTTACATATCATCAATGTGCAACCGACTTGTAAAATACAACTCACATGTCTTGGTTTCAAGAATATAAGATATTATCGTCTCATGATCACTCATGATATAAAAATCCATGAAGTGATTCAAATGAGCGTGTGATGAATCCAATACTCAAATCTTATTACAAGAGTACTCATGAATACTGCAACAAACTTGTGCTATGTCTAAACACCTTTAGACAATCTACAGACCCATTCATGACAGTCTAGCTTCAATACCTACTTCCAAAGTATGATCGACTGTGGATAGTTTGAATAATCTAGTTATTCGGGAAGTCAAAACATGCAAAGTGAAACACAAGAATAATCGAATCCAATATGGTCTCAAAACTTTTGCATATAAATAAAACACCTTTTATTTAATCACCATATTGATTACACATTATCCATTGTATAATGTTTTGATTAATCAACTTAATACTTGAATTGAAACAATAGTCATCCCATGCTCCAAGCATGCATACTATGTTTACCTATGGTCCTTACTTTGTGAAATAGATCAATTGTAAACATTTCCAATGACACTCATTTCACAATTCCAAATCATTATCGTAAGTGTGAGAATACCAAGTCTTTGCCACTTACTATAATTTGTTAGATTCTAAGCTTATATGCAGTGATCCTTTTTGTAATGACTATGTACACAAGTCACAAAGACTATGCCAATTTAAAAAATTTGCATTGGAGATTGTTACAAGACAATTCCATAGATACGAAGTCTCATATTCAAAGCACATTCCTTTAAACATCCTTCTTGCATAAAAGTTTCTAACTTACTCATAGATTCTTGATATCCAACTCCCATTATGGAAACCTTTCCATAATTGCCATATGACTATCCATTCTCAATGGAATCCTATCTATTCAGAATTATATCAATATGGTTCATTCATTACTATACTTCCAATTGTCCATAAGCAACCAATCTTTGGCGAACCTTAGATTGTTCTTAGCAGTTGTTTAACAACTTTAGTCATATTCAGTTCTGGTCCATTTTCCCTCTTAATGCCCTAGGCATTTGGAAAATTAGAACAGGAGAATATTATAGCATATGCAATCGATGCGATATCTAAAGCATATGGGATACGATACATAATGTTTTACATAAAGATGTGATACTTTACCAGTCCCTTGCTATAACATTTCCATATATAGAATTTCCTTATGTCGAATCTTTTCAACATAACATTCATATATGTCCTTGACTAAATTTGATTAAAATCTCAATCTAAACTTTTAGAATTGAAATGAAGTAAAAGTTCCTCTCCCTTAATTATAGCAAAACAACTTTTCAAACCCTGCAACTTTTGTGATTTGAAACCTTTGTTTTCTATAATTAACATTGCTAATTCGCAACACTTACCATAATAATTATGCTCCCACTAGCAT